TCTTTGAGCGCGATCAGACTGAAGGGAATAATAATGAGGAGAACGGCTTTTTCGTGGACGTGCCAGCCGAAGAGAAAGGATGCGTAGCCGCACAGAGTAACGGCGCCGACGAAGGTCTCCCAGTCTGGCCGACGCCAGAGCTTGATCAATGGCAGCTGTATGGCAATCAGCGCTGTGGCTTCACGATGGGGGCGGGGGGCAACGGTGTACTTACCAATTGGAAGAGAAATGTGAGCGCGAATGTATGCTCCTTGGTCACCTCTGGGAGAATTGCAAATGAAGTGTCGCCAACGAGGCCGCGCGTAACACTGGTCAGAGCTTCCTGATTGACTGGGAGCCCCAGGCGAGGAGCAACTACCAAACAAAGTCAGTCAAACCATGCAACTATACTCCGGGATTGAGTACGAACGTGGAATTAGAGCGCGATCAGCAAACGAGTACATTGCCCAGACGTTTGGCGCCCAGTAGGCATGGCATAGCCCTCTCGAGAACGGAAAGAGCCTGTCTTTCAGTTGGAGTAATTGGCCCCAAGAAGCGAATGGGCCAAATGCCAAAGCGAAGATACCCACAACACAAATTCCCAGCTTGATCGTGTTAAGAATTTGAGGCCGGAAGACCGATTTGGGGTCCAAACAATAGGCTCTCAGCAAGTAGACGAAGTAGGCGAGCGAAAGATACAGGTAAATGTGCTTGAAGCACAGCAGGGCAGCAAAAGTGATACCGCTGTAGAGCAACGTTGACTGCTTTCGGGCTAGAACAACCGACAGGATTAAAAGACCGTAGAGAAAGCCGTTATATTGGAAATGAATGTGATCAATGATGAGCAGCCCGGGAGACAAGAGGATGGACAGGCTGGCGATATGCGCGAGATGTCTGTTCTGCTCAGGCACGGACTTGACGAATCTGAAGGATGAGTAGACCTGGTCAGCTGGAAACCTAAGACACAAGACAGAATATGGGAGAGGAAATATACCTGCTGAGCGCGAACAAAAGGACAAGTTCGGTGACAATCACCGTAGCTCTCTGGTAGTATACCGTCTGCCACGAATCATGGTTGAGATTCTTGACCACCAGCATTGCAGGGTCCACATAGGGAGCTGCTTGTGAAAGAAGCCATTCGAAGGCTGCGAAGAAGGGAGGATAGTCGAGGGTCCATTCCGACGTTTTCTAGCCGCCATTGACTGGTATTAGCTTGATCGCTCAGTCTCCCGTGATGGTGGTGTCATCGTACCTCGTAGTACCATTCCTGCACGGGCAACGAATGTGTGATCGCAAGCCAGTTCCGATGCACTTCAAAGTCCGTTGATTTGCTGTAATGGAGGCCGGTGGTCAGCATCAGTCGAAGAGGACCATCGGGGAATTCTTGCCGACCACGTACTATGCGGGGAAAAGAAGAATCTTGAAGGCTGTCGCGACGATGGCGCACTGGGCCAATGAAGGGTAAAGCTCAGTCATTGGAGAGACTGCGCATGACGCGCTCGCAGAGAGAGTGTGAGAGGAGAACAAGAAGAAAGAAAATGAAAACAAAGGAGTGAAGTTAGAACTGAAGAAAGCTCACGATCGGTGGAATAGTTGGTAGTTAAGGTACCGCTAGTTGCATGCCAATCCGGGGGAATTGACACGTGATGACGGCGGTCAGGGACGGAGACACGATGAAAGGCCAGTTTGTCCCTTAATTATTGTTTTCCCCCCTCAATTGCTTTATTTAGTCCCTTATATTCAGATAATGGACTTGGCCACCGCTTCGGACTTTGGAGTCCGTCATTCTCACGTCCTCTCCTCGGTCGAAATCCGTCACTTTCTTGACATCTCTCCTGCCACTGCTTCAATCGCCAAGGAACTTCGTGTTTGCGTGATCGCCATTGTGGTTGGGTGGACCACTTCGCGCATTGTCTCCGCGTTGTTGAACCGAAGAGCTCCCTCTGACCAGTGACGATCTTCCCACTGATACATCCGACCTAGCTCCAGCTCTATTTGCTTCTTTGTAATCTGAGGTGTCTTGCTTGGGGTCCTTGTTCTTATTGCCAACCTGTGCCTTGTTATCGACCATTTTCTTTCGATCCCCTGCTTCATTTGTTCCGGTCTCTAGTGACAGCGTCACTAATCCTCGACGAATTTCCGATTCAACCGACGTCATGAAGACCCCCACCTCTTTCTTCTCTTTCCTCGCCGTCGCGACTGCTCAATCTGTGATTGAGAGCTCCAGCTTCGGTTATGGCCCTGCGTACAACTCACCTTCCTTACTCTGTGGCCGCACCCTGCTTTCCGACTTCATGCTGACCTCGCTGTAGGCTATCACGCACACCGAGTTCAGGTTTCATTCCGGGCTGGGAAGTGAAGGGCGAAGCGCATACCCCTGATATTGTATGAACTGATCCCCATGCCAATTGCGACAATCTTTGGCTTTCCCAAGTGCTGACTGCGTTCTAGCTGTCTAACAAAGTCATTCTCACACCTCCTTACCCTGGAAATACGAGGGGATATGCTTGGGCTGAGTCTCCGTAAGTCATCAACGAGGCGACAACGGCTTGAATGTGTCCTTACATTTCCTAGTATAACTCAGTCAGAATGGACTGCGGAGTTCGAGTTCCGAGCAACGGGCCCTGAGCGAGGAGGTGGTAACCTCCAGGTGTGGTATGCAAAAGATGGGAAGGACAAAATTGGGACTTCCAGTATCTACACTGTCAACCAATTCGACGGGTTTGCCCTGGTTATTGACAGCCATGGTGGAAGAGTATGTGTATGGCCCGTTTGTATGGAACCGAGCATGGCTAAGTTGTCGCACAGGGAGGCAGTGTTAGAGGATTTCTCAACGACGGCTCGACGGACTACAAGAGCCACAGGAGCGTGGACAGCCTAGCTTTTGGGCACTGTGATTATCCCTACCGGAATCTTGGGCGCCCTTCTAGTGTCCGCATCAAACACAACAACGCAGTTCTGGAGGTTACTGTCGACGACAAGCTGTGCTTTTCGACTGATAAGGTAGCCTTGCTCTGCATCTCGGATCATGATGCCTGTGGCTGACCTCTTTTAGGTTACTCTCCCAGCCGGCAACTACTTCGGTGTCACCGCTGCAACCCCCGAGAATCCCGACTCTTTTGAAGTCTTCAAGTTTGTCGTCAAGTCCGCCGAGTCTGGAGCTGGCAGCAACATTCCCGTTCAGCAGCAGAATGTCGATCAGAACCAGCAACCAATTGCTACCCAGGATCAAGGTACTCAGCAACAGCAACAGCAGCAGGAAGCTCGCTCGGGTGACGCTCGCTCGGGTGACGCTCGCTCGGTGACTGAGCAGTTTGTCGATCTCACTGGCCGCATTCAACTGATCAACCATGCTACGAACAACATCGTCCGCGAGATTGGTAACCAGGGAACCAAGAGCGAGAATCGTCATGTGGAATTGCTCCAGAAGTCGGCCACCAAGGACCAAGTGGCCAGCCTTGAAGCCAGACTCCAGAAGATGGAAGACATGCTGCAGGCCATCCAACGGGATCTGGCAGGCAAGGACTACCACGGCCGATTCTCCCAGTTGCAGGAGACCTTGCGCTCATCACACTTGAGCTTGACCCAGGAAGTTCTGAACGGTACGCACGCTTCCCCTCTGCACCAGAAGATCCATCCGACATCATTTGAACTAATGACTCCCTATTAAGGCATCACCTCTTCCGCACCCCGCATGGGATTCTTCATCTTCTGCATCATCGCCTTCCAGGGTGTCCTTGCCAGTGCTTATATCCTCTACAAACGCCGCCGTAACAACATGCCCAAGAAGTTCCTGTGAATCTACTCCTTTACAGTGGACCTTATAACTCAGCTTGCGCAAATTTCGTTTAAGCCTGCATCTCCTTCCCTGTTCTGGACCCACAACTTCGCCATGGCTCATCCTTCGACCCTATCGGAGCCGGCTCACACCCCTGCAACACATCAACTCCCACGGCAGCAATCAAAGCAACCCGCCCCCGCCCACCCGTATAAGCAAATCAGCAAAAACCTCCAAAGGAAACCTACTTGACAGAGAAAAACAAAACAAAACTTTGTATACCACACACGCACCGTTGATTTCAAAGTCCCTGGAAAGGAATCTGTTAAAGTATCTGAGCGTATCAGCCCTGCTTTGGTCATAGAATTTAGTATCGGTGAAGTTCTCCAAGAGAAAGAGAGCCCTTCTTGCAATCTAGAGTGTACTGTATCCCTGCTTTCGTGCAATGCGTTGCATCTCTTCCCCGATAATAGACATGTCTCCCCACTGACTTGGGTAAGAAATCCCAAATCCCATCGACATCCGGGCTAGACATCAGACACCACCATTTCCCCTTACTAAATGCATACAAAATGTCAATGAAAGCAAAATGAAAGATCTCTAGAACCCAATCAGAATGCCGGTGACTGTAGCTGTACGAGGGAAATTGGAGCGCAATGCAGCCAACTCTACAAAATCCCTACGACGGGCGGCAAAAAAGGTCAAATCATGCAAGTACGAAAAATGAATTCAGAGCTCGATAACCTGTTTGTCTCTTCGCCCCAATGCAAACTGCTAATGAGAGACATGTTCCATGCGTTGAGATGCAACCGGCGAACGTTTAAGGAACCTGACAAACACACAATAAAAGACAAGTGCACAACATAATCAATTCCATGAGGACTTGAGATCGGCTACTTCCAGTAGCAGTCTCAAAATGAGAGGAGTTGTTCCTCTCTAGTCTGCCCTGTCGATCGCCGCTCTGCAGCAGGCCTCCTTCGATGGAAAGTACAGAAAACAAAAAGCCAGGCATGCTCCCTTGGACAGAGAAAAGGTGAACCTTTCTAAAAATGATAGAATAGAACCGCCATGTATGAGAGAAAGCTGGTAACGCCGAATATCCATGAACAACAGAAGACACAAAAAAAATAAAGAAGACAAAACCGTCGTCAGAAAACAAAAATTCCCTCAAGATAGCCTATGCGGAAATAATGATATTGCGCCAAATGGTATGTTTTCTGAATCTTTCAAATAGTTGAGACACTGTGTGGTCCGACATGCAACAGCAGGCCTGGTAGGGATCTATTAGAAAAACGCTCTCCCTTCTTGTAGCCCATGGGACGGGCCATCTGCGAGAGGTGGCAACTTACCTCTTAAAAATAACATCACAGCAAATAGACAAATTATCGTATCAAATCGTCGTCATAATAATAATATATGCGTGGCTTATGTGCCACAGTAAAAATAAAACAAACAGTCGTCTCTCGAGCGCCGCTTGCATCCTCCGAAGAGAGGATGTTCGTGGGGCCGGGGCCCGAGCATCGACCGGCGCATCCGGGATTTAGTCGTTTATGACTATTGTGGTTGGGCCGATAAATCCCGGATGCGCCGGTCGATGAGATCCTTCAAGGCCTGTAGCGAGGCTATCTCAGTGTCGGCTGTGGGGCGGATCTCTGGAGCGTTCGCACGGAGTTGGTCAATCAGCAAGCTCATTCTATCGTTGGCACCTGGAGGAGTGATATGCTCCCGCCGAGCAAATGCAAGGAGGTTGGCTGCAGCTTGGCGCTCAGCAGTGGTGCGGGAATTCGAGATTGTGGTGCTCGCATCCTCATCGGTCATTAGGGGTGTCTGTGGGGGTAAGGCAGCACGGGCGTGCGACATAATCTTGTCGTACTCGGCGGTTGCATGATCGAGGAACTTGTTCGCATTTGCTTTCAGTAGTTGATACTCCGCGTTTTCTCTGTCGGCAGAGTCAATATTGGTAGTCGAGTCACAATTCATGGGGGCTACTGGCCTTTTGACCTGGCTAATAAAGGTGTGTTTGATTCCATGCTCGGACACGCGGTACCTGACGCTGCCTTCTTCCTGATCTTCCATCTGGGTGATCTCGTCGTCGGAGAGGAGAACGTCTATATCGACCATCCGGGGGTGCTTTGGCCGGCGAATACGCTTGTAGACATCGTATCCTTCTTCGTCCTTGGAGGCGTAAACGTAATCATGCCAGGCGTGATTAGGGCAAATCCAGTTGTGGTGTGCGAGATCACTTCCTGGAACTTGAGCGGGGGGCGCGGCCATAGGCGGATCAAGACAATCCAGATGCCAGGATAGTGGACAGACATCGCACTGGATGATAGGCCGACCGCTAGCGGCACTTCCTGCGCACTTGAAGCAGAAGATGGGAGTCCCTAGAGCGTCCACTGTCCTCAGCAAATGAGAATCGTCGTAAGTACCATTACGGTAACCACGTCGACCTTTAGGCTTTGGCATTGGAACTATGGCCTCGTAGGATTGACCGTCTTTCTTGTTCACCCTAACACCGGCGAAATGATCCCGAATACGGGCTGGAAGCTGAAAGTCCTTGACATCCTTTTTGCCAAAGCGCTGATCAAACTTGCTAGTCAAAGAACGGAAGGCCCGTCGCATGGCACACTTGGGGCAATACCAGTCTCCCTCCGGAGGGTTGTTTGGGTCTAGTGGGGGTTTCAAGCATGAGAAATGGTAAGAATTAGTACAACCGTCGCAGCAAAGGAGATTGCCGCTGTTGTTGCATTCGTGGCAGATCTCGTCGTTGTCAGGTCTCTCGTCTTCAACATCGCTATCATCACTACCATGCATGTTAGCCTATAGGACACCAGCAGTAAACAAGAAGAAAGAGTGAAGCAGGAATTGTGGTGCTTACACCATGGTAGGCGTGAGTCGGCGGTTGTCACCAGCTTCACTGCTGGCTCGACTGTCGGAAAGGTTTTCTGCAGTTTCTCCAGAGGAGGATGCGAGAGGGGCTGATGCTACAAATTCAGCTGAGGGAGCGGGAGCAACTGGCTGAGCTGGAGGGGGCGTTGGTGCGGAGGGATGGGCGAAAGGGGGAGTAGGTGAGCGAACTGGGGTTGGGATATCAGTAGGGTGTAAGGGTCGGACTTGACTCTCAGCAGGGACGATGGTTGGCAGTGGTGTCCGAAGCTTAATCCGCTTCACCCTGTCTATTCTGTCTAATTCTTCAGACTGCGTCTCGTCCTCTTCTAAAGCATGCTTCAGTTGAGAGCTGACCGTTGTTGGTGGCATAGAATGGCGAGCTGTGAGGTCTGCTGCACCTTTATTGAGTCCGGCGGAACGGGTGTGTTTGGCCTTTGCGCGGGGAATCTTGATTCCAGGGGCTGACCCTGGGAGCTGTGCTGAGACCGCCCCGGCCTCAACGTCCTCAAATGTATTTAGTGAAGACAACGACGAAACGCTACTAGCCGATCGAGCGCGAGGCACAGTTGGCATTGAGTCAACCTCTGTTTCCCCTTTGTCCTCGTCTGCCTGTGCGCGAAGCTCTTCTGCCTTTACCTCGTTCCAGGCGGCCCGCATGATGCTCTGAAATGCTGACTTCTCCCGCGAGCCAGGATTTCCTTGGCATACACCCTCCAACACAGATAATGAAAAGGGATCATTGGCACAGGATTCCCACAAGCGGAGGAGCCCGCGGCTTACCGGGATGTTGTCGGTCTCTGTCGCCATCCGTAGAGCCTCCTTGACGGCCACTTGGATCTTCTCCACGTTGAAGTCCGCGGAGGTGGGGATGGGAAGCGCCGCAAACGCGGAAATGTCAAAAAGTGAGCTGGCCTTCTGTGGCGCAGCCTCATTGGACTCGACTCCAGACCTTCTTTTGGCGGGTATTATGGGTGGAATTGTCTTGGGCATCACGCCGACCTTCCGCAAGTCTGCCGGAGAAGGTCGAGTCCCTAAAGGGCGCATCGTGTTCAGAACTGGGTTCCGACTATCACAGTGATTTGACCATGGGCTATCCGCATAGCTAGGGGCCGGCGCTCTTGCAGGAGGCTCGGCCCAGTCTTTGCTTCCATTGTCCTGCGACTCCGTCGCGTTCTGTAGCGGAGCGGTGGCCTCCCGCGAGTCTATGCCCGTGCGCCGTTGCTTTGCGGGCCTCGCGGCTTCGGTGACTGAATTAGTTGTGCTTGCCATCATGGGCGCATCAGGTGGTGTGTTAGGTCGGGAGGGAATAAGGGAGGAAGAGGAGCGGAGGGTCGGAGCCATTGCTGTAGACAGGGCTCGGGAGGTACAACGGCTGCAGGCGCTGGGTTAGCGAAGAACAGACAATAGGCATTAATTAGCCCGAGGATATTGTCAGATAATACTTACTGAGGTAAATGACTCCAAGCGAACACCGAGCGTGCCCAGCGTGGCTGGTTGGAATCGAGGCCAGCCCGCGCGCTGTCTGCGGGTTGAAGAAAGGAAGAACCGCGGAGTTCGCCCGGAAGTTTTCGAGGGATCCCAAGCAAGCTCCTAAGGGGGTTGTTGCGGAAGCTGCCACAAACACCAAAGTCAGCACGTCTGCCCTACGTAAAGGACAGTTTCAGCCTTGAAATGTCTAAGTGGTAATTTTGTTCAGGGAAAAATTACCGTCAATGATGGATCCTGTTTCTTGATAGCTTCTCAGCTACCGATCCTTGCACAGGCGCGCAGAATAGCCGTGTAGGGCACAGGCTCTGGGGGTTCCCGTGCACCTGGACAAGTGCAGATTAAGTTCTGTCGCGCTGCCAATTTTATGACAGCGTAGAAGTGAATGTTAATTTTGAAGATCTCGCGGTACTCGATTGAGATATTCTCAAAGGAGCAGTGAGCCTATGATCTGGTCAGCCACGGTTTGGTCCCCTAAGTTGTTTCGCCAACACCGATGCCCAACCAACATAATTGGCCCAGACTGGAGTCCTCCAGACTTGATTTAGGGGCAGTCAGTTTTGGCTATCAGCAATTCATCTGGACTGAAGCAGAGGCGCATCTAAAGTAGAATGCCCGGATAGATCTCTGCTCTTGCCAGAGTACTGGCACATGGGAAATGGCTCTTAAAGGCAATGGGAAGACGTAATTTGTGGCTATGAAAGCCCACTTACCAGGAGAAAGTAGAGCACAAAGAGCTATCGCGTTCAAGCTACCTGTCACTGCAGGTGCGGAACAAGCCTCTTGGTCGAGTCACGATCAGGCCGCGGAAGTTAGGAGATAGAGACGAAGATGGAGACTTTAGGAAGTTGACAAGAAGGAACAGACCAGCAGGTCTCCTAATACAGAAGTGCACTAATTTCGATTCCAAGAGAGAGATTGGAACGGATGGAACGAACGGAGAGTGGTAGAATGGCAGTTCGGAGGCAAGTGCGCAAAGATGGAAAACAAGTCGACAACAGATTTGAGGCCTGAAGATGAAATGTCCTCAGTTCACACTGAGAGGCAGAAAGCCTGCTGATACAAGCTGGGAAGAAGAGTGAGAATGGACGTTGTCAAGGGTAGAATGATGATGGAAGTGATTTCGAGACAAGGATGCAGAGCTACGATGCTCTGGTCACAGCAAGAGAAATGATGCTACGCATTCAACGCGAAGGCACTCTCGTGGTCACGACTCTGTCGAAAGAAGAGAGATTTGAACGAGGATGGTGGGGATGTCAATAATCTCAGGATGACAAACTGACGAGGGGAGGGCGTCTGTACGCAACGCGCCAGATGTCGCTTCAGTGGGTAAAAGATCTGCAGGATCTTGGAAGGTCTTGATATTGAGCAGACGGATTCAAGGGACTGAGGAAGAGGGGCTAGATAGAAAGGAACACAGCCAAGTAGGAAGGTGTGATGTAGCGAGAATCGTGCAGTGGCAACAACACCAGACACGTTGAGAGATGTAGCAGCTCCGGAAGCTGATAAACAAGAAGCCGCTGTGCTGAAATGCTTAAAACAAGTTCAACGTCTAGTAGAAGACAGTAGAAGCTTTAATCTTGCAGGTGAGAGGTGAAGGCGTAGGGATAGCTTGACTCTGTTGAGCAACGCGTATGGAGGTTCTATGTGGTGGAGGAGAAGATGAAGAAGAAGAAGATAGGAAGTGTAACGGTGATCGAGGGAGAAAGAAGTGAAGGAAATCTGTCTCTGAGTAGGCAGAGAGAAAGATAACAGTGTTACAGTTGGTAGCTCAGGGAGGTTGGTGTTAAGGACGAGATGTCTCGATGCTCTCGGGACTTCGGGGAAGAGGGATGTTGGGTTGGGTGGGCCAAGTGAAGGGGGGTGAGGAGGGGGGGGGAGACCTTCTTCACTCAGTCAGTATTCGGCCAGGAGAGGCAGCAAACACCAAACTGAACAGCTGCCTTGCAACACGTTGACTTTGGTGGCCGGACCCGAATATTCAATAAGAGGAAAATGGTGTTTAAGAAGAAAGATGGAAAGACGAGACGGAGAGGTTCGGGAATTCTTTCAGTTTGGCCCACTGCTCATTTCCTCCTCCTCCTCCTCCTCCTCCTCTTCTTGTCCCCTTTGGCTGCTGTCTGTTCAAACTAGGTACAACTTGACAACACGCCTACTCGAACCTGTCTGGATTGTTTCTGAAATGCTACGAGTCGCTTGGAATTAGCGAGTTCGTGCCCGTATGATCTTGAGGCCTTCCTGCCTTTGCGTCGGCGGGCAGGCAGATCAAAGTCCTTTCACACACCACGTGAAGCAATCTGATGATCTCCTATCCCCCAACTGCAACTAAACCGTAGGGTTCCCCTCCAATACTACTAGCCTCCCTGACAGTCAGAGTGATATCAAGTGGTGTTAGGATTTGGTTGTTCTTCAACATGAGCGCTTCCGGACGTCCTGCCCAAATTGGTGGACAGGCGGTCATGGGCTGAACCAGCGAATCTCTCAGGAATCCATAGGTCTTTGACAAGATAGTGAGAGTGAAGATGCAGCTAGATGCACTTCAGCGCCGAAAAGAAATGTTGACCCACAGGCCATGCAAAGGGAGAAGGATGAAGGGTCAATCAAATGTGTGTGCTCAGCACTATCCTAACCTAGCTCAAAAGATGAAATTGTGTAACTACTGCTCTCAACTCTCGAAGATTTCAAACCACATACCTGGGTTGGCATAAAATCTGTCTGAGCAACAACTAGGATAGAACAAATAAGCCCCAAACTCAAGGAACTTGGCAGCAACTGGCTGACACCAGCTATCATAATCTTCATTGGTGAACTGTATCTGGCTTGGTTTCACTGGACATATACAACTCTTCCTCTTTTTGAACTAATTTATGTGACAGCATGTTTTCAACAGGGAACTGCGAGGGAGAGGTGGTCCTCCCACCAGACTTGTCTCTGGCGTTCAGCATGGCGACAACAACCCTCCGGTCTCGGAGAAGGCCCAACGGGCTCCGATTCTCAAAACAAAGCACCATCATGGCGGACATTGCCAGGGCTTTGGAGCCACCAAAACTCTCCCCGAACAGTTGTCATATGCTTTTATGTGAGCCAAAACGCGGTTCCCGGAACTGCGTCAAGTGAGGCCTGATGCAACGATGCATTTACTCCTCATCCTTGGAGTCCTCCGTCTTGGCGGCCTTCTTCTTCTTGTTCTTGTTCTTCTTGGAGCCAGTAGACTTGGCCAAGGGACGCTCAAGGATCTCGAGGATCTCCGCGTCCTCGATCTTCTTGTCGGTCTTGAACTTGGTAAGATCGGGAGTGGTGGGAGCAGTAAGACGGGTGATACCGTTCTTGGTGATGGCTGCATTGAGGGTTAGTTTCAGTCTTGTATTGCAATTACCCCAGTCACCACCAATTGCTGATGGAGAGTGGAGAGAGGGGATTCGTACCAATGGTAGACAGCACACGGGACACGGCAGCGTTGTCAGCATCACCGGCGGGCTCGTACTGTCTCAGGACACCACCACGGACACACTCAACGACACCAACCTTCGCGGCCTTCTCGTCATCCAGCTGACGCAAGCTGAAGGGGAAGGTGCCGAACTTCTTGACAACCTCGGACAGGGTCTGTCTAGAGCTAGGGCGCTTGAGGCCATAGGTGGTGGTGGTACGGCGATGCAGAGTAGCACGGTGGGGAAGAGTCTTGACCTTGCCGGATCCGAGGGACAGTCCGAGTTCAATACCCCAGACCTCGCCGACGTCGGGAAGACCCTCACCCTTGACACCAGTGCCGGGAGAGAGGATGATCTTCTTCTCGCCCTCAATCTCGTTGCGCTGGAACAGCCAGCTGGTGGTGTTCTCGACGACGTTGCAGTCGTAGACCTTGGCAACCTTCTCAATGAGCTGGGTGATCTGAGCCTGAGTGTAAGGCTTCTGGGCGGCGGCCTTCTGCTTCTCCTCCTCAGTACCGCTGGCCAGGAGGCCGGCAGGGACCAACAGTCTCAGGAGAAGCTCGTTGGCGTAGTGGGTGGCGTGAATCAGGTCAGCCTCGCGGCCAGTCACCTCATCGGAAGAGGAGTTGCTGTCGGCAACAATGACCATGTCGCAAACAATGGTTCCGAAGCCATCGATCTGAGCACCCAGCTGGATCTTAACAACCTCACCAGCCTTCAGGGTAGTCTCGGCCTCGGCAGCATCGGACACCAAAGGAGTGTAGGGAGTCACATAGGAGTTGGGAGAGACAGTGGTAGGGTGAGAGATACCTTTTGCGACGAGGTCGCGTCAACCATCATGCTCTTGAAAATTTCACTTGCAGAGGCAACATACCCTTGGCGATCTTCTTGCCCTTGTAGACCTTGGCAATCTCCTCCTCGAGGAGCTGGTCACCCTTCTGGCAGAGCTCGACAATCTTGCTTCCCTCAACACACCATCCTATACATTGGGGTTAGCACCACACCCGAGGAACTATGCGACAGCCCGCTTTTGAGGCAAACGGCAGGAAGAGACACACCTGAAACGGCTTCCAAGACCTTCTGGGAGATCTGAGCAGCGGTCTTGTACTTGGTAAGGGTGTCGGGGTTGTTGAGGGTGTAGTCTGGAAATGATCGTGTCAGCGGCTAGTTGTGCGCAAGAAAACGGCAAGCAGTTGTGAGTAGCATCACAGAGCGTGCTAGAATGCAAGGAGTAACAATTGAGGCAGCCATGCGAAGGTCGCGATTGAGGGGTTAATCGAGGTGGCAGCGCAGCCCGTCAAACGCAGCCCGATCCATGACGATGGAAAACCAAGCGGGAACCCACAAACGCCGGAGGAGCTTTTTCAAATTGGTAGGAAGAAAGAGGAGGGAGGGGCAGCCAGCCAGCGTATTGAACAGAGGTGAATACATACCAACCTCGGGAGCCTGGGTCTCAGCCATTGTGTGCTAATTAGAGTATCCTCGCGCTGGGGACGAGGAAATTGATAGATTAATAGGACTTCTGGATAGTAAGACTTGCGGAATAGTAGAGAGAAGAGGGAAAATGGACTCGGAGCAGAAGCTGGAGAACCTTCAATTAGTTTAGTCGCTCGATGGAGACTCGGGAGTCGTGTGCACCTGCTTGGTATTATCCATTACGAAATAACCAGGGCGGGGGCTTTGGCCCGCTTTCGCCAGCGTTTGCCCTCATCAAGGTGGGGTTTGTGACCAGTAGGGCTCGGTAACAGCTGGTTTTGCCAGTACCCTCCGTTTCCACGGCCGACCGCCCGCCGTCATCACTTTTTCCTCAGGGCCCAATGGCATCCATTCTTTCCCTGGGAAGCTTGGAATTGCATTGGAAGCCAAAGACTCGGGAGCTTCAACAGCTTGACACCACAATGAAATATACTCTTCAGTTGTTTCGACCATTGTCATACTAGTTTCTGCTTTGGATTGCTCAAACTATGTCTTCGAGGGTGATGAGCTCAAGATCCAGCTCGACCTTCTATATGACATCACCTGTGTGTCGCCACTGATCGTCCTCGTGGCCCTGACGAATGCTACGGTGGATAGTAGACAGTTGCAGCGGCACCTTGAGCTGTGAGTGTAAATTCAAGCTCTCTTGACATGCTCAGTACTCAGCGAATAGATAGGACGTAATGAGTTCCATTGTTTCTTACAAGGCAATGGTCAATTGGCCGAGTTGTTGTTCTGTCAGCTTTTCCTTGTTGGTGCATCTGAACGGTAGAGTCCACGGATAGGCTGTGTAGAGGAATGATTACTTAAGAGGTCAGATAGTCAGTCATTGAACTACACCAAGTTCTTGCTGGTAGTTCAACCCATTTTCTATGTCATTTTTCTGGTCTATCATTCTGGTGTTTTGGGAGGCGGGGGTTCGGAGGTGGGATTGAAGGTCTACTGGGCTCAGGTGCTACTGTATTTCTCTAGTTTTATATCTATGCGAGCCATGCACAGTCGCTTACCTACAGCGTGTTGCACATAAAAGCACAGTTCTTGCTGATGCTGATTCGATGCGGAATAATCCGTACAGTGTGAAAGACCTCTCTAAAGGCTTATGTTCTTCTCATCTAAGACCGAACTCTCGTACTTATTCGTGCTTACTACTCTGTGCAACATTGCGTATGATTTTGGCAAGGATCTGTTCGCTCCGGAGACTCCGTATCGTCAACTAGTGTGTGTGACATGGTAAATCCCAGGCTAGTCCGCCGCTGCAGTGAGCCCACCTACAAAGTACCTTCGTTGCTACGAGTAGAACCCTTCAACAAAGAAAATGGGAAGATTAATTTAACTAACCCATGTCGGCTGTCAGCAGTAAAAATGTTAGTATCCCGCCATCCTGCAGGCAAGGAAAGGAATCACTGCCTGGCCTCGTGGCTCAGCATCGGCCCCCTCGCGCGTATGTGTGACCGCTGCAAGGTGATCCGCCACGCTGCAGCTCGTCCTTTGCCCTACTCCTCGACAAAGCCCAATTTCTGGAAAGAGCTTGGGGGCCGGATTTCTCGATCGGAAACGTGAAGACTTTAATATGGACATGGATTCCTTTAACCTTTCTTTATTCTTCCTTCCCCTCATGCCCCTTGCCAGGCAGCTTTTCTGAAGCTTGGGAGCCAATAACTGTTACCGAGTCCCTCAATCCTCAATGTCTCGTCCTCACGGATCCCTGGACGAAAAGACCTCCCTTAATCCTCGACACAAACCATGTTGACCCTCAGAGATGCTGTTGATAAGTGCACGGGGCTTTCCGGTGATGGAAAAGACATTGCCATCACCTTGGCTTTCTGTCTCTTTCTAGTGACCATGACCATGGGACTTCGATTTTACACGTTGGTTATGCGAAGGCAGAGCTTCCAAGCATCGGACTATCTAGCACTTCTATCTCTGGTAAGCCACCGAGTATAATATGCGCCTTGAGCTGTTTATCGAGCTAACGGTGCGGTTTCAGATTTTATACTACTCTAGCGCGGTGACGGTCTTTCTGGGTATGGCAACGGGTCCATATATGGTGCATTCATGTAGATACTAATCCCCCATCTGTTCAGCTTTGACCATCGGCCACATTGGCTATCGGACATCGGAAACGCCAGCCTGGCGGCTCAGCATCGCCTTCAAGGTAGATAGTCTTACCCTTCCATCCCGTACCTTACTAGGGCATACTGACCATTTCGCAGTGCATCTATTATATTCGACTGGCATACCTCATAGGGCTAGGCCTGGTGAAATGCAGTCTCTTGCAAGCCCTTCAGAAGACCTTCATCAGTCCCCCCAGCCATTTTCGATTCGCCGTGTGGACGACGATGGTAATATGTGCCTGTTGGAGCCTGTCAGGGTTTCTTCTCGCATTTCTGGCCTGCCATCCATTCAAATACAATTGGACCCCGAATCTTGGAGAAGGACACTGCGTGAATCAAAGCCACGTCTTACTGGGTCTTGGTATCATCGATTCTGTGACGAGTTTCGCCATCATGGTTCTGCCACTACCGTACCTGCTAAGAACCAACCCGACGCGGCCTCAGAAGCTGGCAACTGCTGGCGTCTATGGAATTGGAGTTTTGTACGTATATCCTGGGCTGTACAATGAAAGCGTGTCAGACGCAACATTTCTAATCGAGGAACTGATTAGTGCTGTTGCCATTGCCATTTTACTGACCGTGGCTCTTTCGAAAACCGACCTGGGCAATTTCAACGAGGCAGGCAAAATGGTTGTGGTCTGGTTCACTGTTGAGTGGACAGCAGCAATCATCGTGGCCAATACATGTGTCCTAGCACCAGTGTTTGCCTGCTTGGGTCTTTGCCAGTCTCTGCGTTCTGGCGCGAACACTTCGCTCAGTCACCCCAAGGACGGTTCTTATTTGCTGGGGTCGATGCGGACTCTGACTACAGGCGGTAGTAGCGCACCACTAAAGCCGAAAGCCACGCTGGCAGAGACAGGCTCGATTCAGTCGTCGCGATCGATGATGAGAGGACTTGGGTTTTGCTGGACGGAGGCCACAGGACAAGCACAGCAACCAGGCTCCGTCCTTGCCTTAGAGCCAGGAGAGGTGCGCGTGCAGACAGGATGGTCTGTTGAAAGGTCACCGGCCAAGACAGAAACTACTGCAACAACAACGATAGGGACCTAGACACACAGGGCTCCGAATCAATGAAGTCATGATCGTCATTTTCTAGTGAATTCCGACACTTGTGCTACTAGCGTGTAGAATGTAAAACTGTGTGGGGGGGGGGACTGGCGCCACACCGGCTTGCATTCGTAGAGTGTTCACATTGAACCCCGATTGCGATTAATCTAGAAAATTGGGGGCCACGCTAGACGCACATAAGATTTGCCTTGACTTTGCTCTTAATGGAGTTACCTTGATGACCACGTTGCTATCTAGTCTATCTATGCTGCAGTCAGCACACGTCTGATCCGATGATGGCTGGTTCCGTTTGTGTCTCCGCCTCCCGACTCCGAGTCCGCTCCTGCCGGTTCCAGTTGAGGGTCAGCATTGTAGACTAAAATCTGACCTGCAGCGAAGTTCGACGCTGTCAGAAAACGAGGAGAAGACCCTCGCCCTCGGGCTGCCACGCGTGATCCATGACAATTGTCAGATCCCATCCATGTTCTTACCGAGTCTTTGTTGCCGTCTTTCGTTCTTGAATGAAGGACATTCTGAACTGCCTTCACAACTACCATTGACGAAAGACCCATATCTATAGCTGTCGCCTGTCTATAATACTAAACCCAGAATCTTTCCGAACCATCAATATCAACAACTCGCAGCAAACTTCGAATTCAAACACTTTTGCTCGCTCGAGCCGCTTATCAAGAGTATGCTGCAGCTGTACCATCGTCGCCATCATTGCTCGTGAACCAGCGAGCAAGACATACGTGTCAGGCTGTCCGCTTGATCGGTTCGTTCCTTCAACCTGCGCGAAAGAGGACTGGTAGTTAAGTTCTTGTTCTATGGGTTTGCTTTCGAACTTTGCTTCTTGTCGGCTGTTTCATCTCGAACTCAAAACTAGGTTCTCGATTCCTTCGTTCTTGGTGGTGGCACAGCGCTGCCTCTTCGCTTTTGCTGACACCAGACAAAGCGGTCTCGTACTCTTTACCCACATTGGTGGGTCTTGGCCACGATTTCAACATTGCACAACTCTCTTCATGCCCAACGAGACCCAGATCTGACAATTCCAGCGCTCATCTCAATCAGATAGCAAATCAATACGCCCAGACCACTCGGTGAGCGTATTACGACCCTGACTAAACGGATATACTGTCAAATGCGAGGAGCAGGAATCAATGGCGGTGAGTTCGTGGACACAGCTGACTGTGTCAAACAATCGAACAGATCGTCGTGGCTATGCTGGGTTCGAAGGGCACAGTTTGTGTACTTTAGCGCAAAGGCTAGAAGCATCGAAGCCGTATCGCGTGGTCGGTGGGGAGCCGATAACTAGGGCTCATGACAGCAGCCATCTTACGGCATGCTCGTCTGGCACATCTCATGGTGGAAGAACCCAGCGAATTCATCGAACGCAACCAATTCTCCCTCTTGCCCGGTCGCTCGATGTGTCGCAAATAGAAGCACTTCCCCACTCGTGCAGGATTGCAGTGTCAGCACCACGAGGACAACGCCGGTTGGATGGACTGTTTCATATAAATAGGCAGATGTGGTTCCGAATCCTTCCTGAGGCAGAGCAGTCCGCTCTCAGTATGGTTCGCTCATCCACTTTCAACATGGACGTCATACGCGAGACTTCTGACCTCGATATTCCCAATGGTCGGTGCATATAAGCTGACATGGATTGAAGGGTTAGATGCCACACCCGGTTCTTTGGCGCGCACAGAAGTCCTGACTAAGCGGACCATTGCTCTTGGCTCACAATCGGCGTAAACGCTGAGCGTCGCAAAGCGGCGCAACCACAACCTGAAGTCTCCAGGCTGGAGTGATTGTCTGTGCTACTCAGTCCGTGTCAAGGTATAAAAGTGACAGAAATGTGCGTTGCACTCTAGTCGTGCACGAGACAATCGATATGGGAGACCTACAGTAGATGCAGCCACTGAGCTTTGTCTTGGGGACGAAGACTCTCGATATCCAGTCGATAGTTGAGTCCAGCGAAGTCATAGTTTAACATGGAAAATTCGAGAGACTCCACGGATGTAGTTTGCAGAGGCAAAATGACACAAGTCTGCGTAGCAGGACTTCAGAACAGATTTGTAGCAACGTCTGTGAACTCGTGTAGTACCTAGCAGCAATATGCCTATTATTTACTACACTACAGTTAGTCCAATCGTTCACAGTTACCTCTGTATCCGGTCACTTTCTTGAGCAGCACAAAGAATGGATCGTGCAGCAACGCCCAATCACCGGACTATCGGCAGTGACCTCGAGCTTTCTCCGCATTCTCCGCTTGGAGTCTTCCCCACTCTTACTTCCCACAAGGACGAGTACTGTACGTACTCGCACTCGAAAGCCATCAAACCGCTGAGACAGCAATCTACTTCGAACCACAGTAGCCTCATTCTACTTACTTTACATACTTTGAATCCCCATAAATGAACAATCCTCCACTATGAAAGTAGCTGCAGAGCTCCCCCTCCGTATCCTTACCCATAACATCCGGTATGCAACCTCATCTCCTTTCCAGGGCGAGCGACCCTGGGCCGATCGAAAGCAGCTGCTCCTGAACGAGCTACTGTATAATACACGCCATCAAAACGCCTTCATATGCCTACAAGAGGTTCTGCATAACCAGCTGGTGGACATACACGCGGGGCTGAACCCACCCTCTCCCTCCCCCACCAGCCAGACCTGGGATTACATCGGAGTTGGCAGAGACGATGGCCGCGAAGCAGGCGAGTATTCTCCGATCTTCTATCAGCCCGCAATCTGGGAGCTCCGAGACTGGCAGACTGTCTGGCTATCCGAGACCCCCGATGTGCCCTCGAAGAGCTGGGATGCCGCCTCGACCCGCATCGTCACGGTGGGCGTCTTCACCCATCGCGCGAGCCGCCGCACCGTGCTGGCATTGAACACCCATCTCGACGATCAGGGATCCCGGTCCCGGTTCGAGGCCGCCCATATCATCCTGGCGAAGATCGAGGAGTATCGGGCGAAGGCGACGTCCGCAGGTGGCGGCGGCAACAGCAGCAGCAGCAACATCTCGGGGGTATTCCTTGCAGGCGACTTCAACAGTCAGGAGGATCAGGAGGCCTATACCGTGTTGACAGCGCCGGAGTCACCCTTGGCCGACGCGGCCAAGTTGGTGACACCCACGGAGCATTACGGCCACTATCTGACGTGGACCGGGTTTGGCCATGAAGGGCAGCCTCCCACTCGCATTGACTACATCCTACTGGAGTCCACGGCGGACAAGGTTTTCAGCCACGGTCGCCAGCCGTGGATAGTCGAGGGGTATGCCGTTCTGGAAAATCGGTTCGAAGATGGGGTCTTCAACTCGGACCACCGGGCAGTGGTGATTGATGTGCTCTTAAGCCAGTAAGATGACGGAGAAGATTTGATAATTGCAACAATTTCTGGACATAACCACCGACGAGTTAACATCTGCAAAACATGAAGACCGTCCATACGGTACGGTAACCTTTCGTATGCTTGGCCACCGATTCGGTACGGAGTCGAAAGACTAGCATCCACCGTCGGAGACACTTCTGCGCTAACGGAGCACCGGCTTACCATCTTTGGGAAAGTTCAGTGTCACATGATGAGCTTAACTGGTATAGCGCACGGGAGTGCGTCGGTTACCGTACGAAACAAGCGACGGTATTACAGCATCGATACAATGACAAGTGTAAGAGAGGTTGAGATCGGACCAGAAGATAAAGCAGCATGAAGATGAGTTTGAATAGCTTCAAAAAGGCCCTGAAGGAGTTCCTGGAGCTCTTAAGAGGCAGTCAAGCTCCTCTCCATGCGATTGGCTTCTCCCCTTTTGCTCCCTGAATGACATTTCCTTCCCCCCCCCGGGAGCCCGGCCAGAGGGTAGAGACTTGTAACGGCGGTTTCCCTCTGGTTTTCCGCTCTATGCTCTTCGCCGCTGCTGTTCTTCTCTCTCTCTCTACGCTCTCTCTCTTTCTCTTTCTCTTCCCTTTCTTCTCTTCCCGCATCGAAATCGCGTCTTTTATCACTCTGATCTCTGATACACTCGGCCATTTGCCAACCATCCCCCCTTCACCCCCCCACAATTCTTATTCCTTGAACGATTGGTCTGCGATGAATAATCGTCATTCTATTTGAGAGATCAAATAGCTATCAACCGAAGGGTGAATAAAGCTTCGCTCCGCAGAACCGAAGCTCCCCGACCTGCCGACCACAGCGGGAGCGGCGTCAGCTGATTAGCCTCGCCCGTCCCCCGTCCAGTGCCATTCTCCCTCATTCAAACAGACACAGACCGACCAGACAGACCCAGACCCGGCACCAGCAGACCAGACCAGACCCATCCACTCTTGCCTGTCTTTCCCACCTGCCTGCCTGCTCATTGGAACCAGCTTTCCCCCGACTCGTCTGCTGGTTTAGCTTGGTATCACCGTCTCCCCATTCAATTCCCATTCTCGAGCTGGTGGCTTTCTTGGTTAGTTGTATCTTTACCTTGATTCTCCCGCGTGCCTGCCATCCGTACTACCCTCCTACCTCCCCCCCCCTCTCTCATCTGCTCTACCTCTCCTCTATTTCCTTGCCATTTTGCTGGCAGGTATGTCACTTCCTCGCAGCTTGTCCTTTCCCTTTCCCGCTCCGCTCCTTCAGCTTCGCGCAGATCTTCCTCTATAGGTTTTCGCGCGTTGCTGAACGGCTCCGGATCATGACAAAGGAGAGCGACTCACGGGTGGCGGTCTTGCGACATGCCCTTTCGAAGGGTTTTCACCCGCAATGTCTGGTGCGCCGTCGCGTCTCCAATGCGATGACTGCAGATTATCGAAGGCCGCTTAACTGACTTGGTTTGTTTCTCATCGCATAGTCCTCCCAAGGATGCTATCGTAATAGACTAGTGTCCTCGTCGCCATTTCTCTTCAAACCAATCGTGTCGCTTGCAGATTTATCGAGCCCTCTGCGCGAGCGATAACGTGCCTCCATCTCGATCTCATAAAATCTTATCATCGATGATGCCATCTTCCAATACCTCTCGCACCGGACAATTACCCTCTGATGCGCAATTTGACGACGGCTCTGGCATGTCTAACACAAGCGCGGATTACAATAATATGGCTGCCTCTGAACCCTCGTCAGGGCAAGGTGTAGACGGAGCTGATGCTATCGCGGAGGGTAAACAGAATGCGAAAGCCGTCCTTGCAGCTTCGGGCGTTCCTCTTCCATCCAAAGAATCGAGCCATGATGCTTTCAATGGCAATAATTCGCCTAATACCACCAATGGATCCGCAGCAAGCCGAAAACGATCGCGGGATGGTTCCGTCATACAAGCTCCACCCTCTACGGAAAGCCTACCAGTGCGCGTCCGCGAGACACCAGCGGACAAGATTCTTCTCGAAGACTACGTCAATCGCGAGTTCCATCATTCCGCACTGACAGCTTGGCAGAATCCCAGCCACGAACTTCTGCAGCAGAAACGCGCGGAGCGGGATTACTTCTTGGCGGTCCGGCGCGAGACTCATCTGAACCCCGCGGCGTTGTACGGTGTGGGCTATGAAGGATTCGGAAATGCTCGCACCGATTTGCGGAGTCAACATCCCCAGCTGCTATACCCAGCCAACCGTCGACGTCCCGGAAACCGACGGACGAGGGAGCTACGGGTCTCTCGCAAAGATTTGAAAACACAAAACGAACAAGTGGAAGATCTGGTCCCTATTCGCCTGGATATCGATTGGGAGAAGATCAAAATCCGAGATACGTTTACGTGGAACCTTCATGATCGTGTGGTCTCGCCGGAGCTGTTTGCCGAGAAACTCGTCGAAGACCTGGGTCTACCTATGGAAACGTGTGCCCCGCTGGTGCGCATGATCTCGCAGAGTATCCAAGAACAGCTTTGCGATTACTACCCCCACATTTTCATGGAAGAAGATCCTCTTGACCCCCACCTTCCTTACAGTGCCTATAAGAACGATGAGATGCGCATTCTCGTCAAACTCAATATCACCATCGGCCAGCATACGTTGATCGACCAGTTCGAATGGGACATCAATGATCCTTCAAACTCCCCGGAAACCTTTGCAGCACGAATGACGGACGACCTGTCTCTCTCCGGCGAATTTACCACCGCCATTGCGCACTCGATTCGAGAACAATCACAGCTCTTTGTCAAGTCACTTTACATCCTTTCTCACCCATTCGATGGACGTCCGATTGACGATCCCGATCTCAAGACCGCGTTCCTCCCCTCTCCTCTCACTTCATCCTTTAGACCATTCCAGGCGGCCAAGGAATTTACGCCATATCTATACGAGCTTAATGAGGCTGAGCTCGAACGGACGGAAGTCTCAATTTCGCGAGACCAGCGCCGACAAAAACGGTCCGTCAACCGCCGTGGTGGGCCGGCCCTGCCTGATCTCAAGGATCGCCAACGTACTATCCGCACAATGATTGTCTCAACCGTTATTCCAAATTGTGCAGCTTCGATGGATGAGAGCAATGTTTTCAAGCGCTCTGGCTCAAGTCGCACCCGTCGTGCTGCTGTTGGCATGCGCGACGGAGCAGAGGAGTCGGAAGAGTCCGATAGTGACGAATCCTCGATTGCGGCATCTCCGGCGATTGGGCCTCACCTAGCTCAGGGCACGGCGCGCACGCGAGGTATGAGAGGAGCCGCCACCGCAGCACATGCCGCGCTCCGGGCAAGCCTGGGCCAATCCGCCACGCCCGAGCCTCATAACGAGGCGAGAGCCGCATCACGCAGGCGTGAATATCGGGAAGAGAGTGTGGATGAGCCGGAAAAGTTGATTGTGAAGTTGAGAATCTCGAAAGAGAAGTTCAAGCAGTATCTTGCGCACGGGATTCAATCAATAGCAAGCCTCGCGAGTTCCACCCCAGTTGCACAACCGCCATCCCAGCAAGGCACCCCTCAAGTCCAAACTCCCACCCCGACTCCCATGGCTCCTCCTGTACAGTCCCAGCCTGAAGTCCGCGTACCAAATGCTCCTCCGTCGGCGACACGGCCAGTGCCGACTCCACAGGCCAGAGCGGGAGACACTCCCCATACCCCACAGATGGGAGCCACCGGGGTGAGTAAACAACGATTTACATAAGTCCTCTTCACACGCCTCCGGCCCCGGCCGCAAGATCTGGCAGTCAGTTGAGGATCAAAACCCTCAGACAACCACAGACTAACATAGTTTGACTTAGCCTCAGGCTCCCAACTGGCTTGTAGCGGAATTGACGCAGCTGAACCGGTCTTATCCCAATGACTCCTTCGAGGCCACGATGCGGTATACGGCCGTCGACACGGAAACCGGGCAGCCGGTAATCAATGCCAGCAATCAAGTCGGTAATTCCCGGCTGAAATACCAATACCTCCCTCGCATCCGATGCCATGATTGTCCGGGCAAACTCTACAACCCCGGTCCTGGTATGACGGTCGAGAACTTTAAAGTGCACCTCACCAACGGCACACACATCAAGAATGTCAATGAACGAGTTGCTAGGACGGCGGCGGCGGATGCAGCTAGAGCGGCCGTAGGGGATGGCGGGAGCAGTGTTGATACACCTCTGTGAATAATGACCTGAATGATGGGAGGGCAGCACTTGGCTGTGGTTACCCTTCCCTGTATCTGTAAAGTCTTTTTTTCCTACTCATCATTTTACAGACACACACTGAGCAACGGTGGGCCTCTTTTGTGTTGCAATCAGACACAAATTGCACACATACTATAACGACGAGTCATCCTCCTTCCCTTTGACTTGATGTACATGTTTCTTCTAGCGAGTTCCTGTCTTGGAGAGGGTGTGGAGAAAACGGTCTGGTTTATCAGTTCAGCTCGTCTCATTTTTATCTTTCGACTACTACCACGATTACCACTACCACTACCACTACCAATACAATTTCTACTTCTACTTCATAGGTCTCTGCCTCGGACTATTCGGATCTGCACCCAAAGGTGTTCATTCTCTCAAATGAGCGAATCAACGTAAACCAGCCGAACCTTCTACATCTGCTTCCCCCGCCGTCTCTTCACCTAAGACTCCAGAAAGAGGTCCAGCACCACACCACGTGCGTACCCTACAGGCATCTTCCCTATCATCAGCGTCAGCCTGAGGTTATAGGGTCCGGAACTGTACAGTACTCTCCCGGGCCCAGATTCGACGCCTGGTAATCCCACCAGATCGAGTCCGCATCCATGATCCCCGGGAGTCGTGCACACACACAACCGACCTCCCAATCCCGGGCTTTTCTTCGCATACTTTGAAGTTCAACATTGACTAGTTCAGAATGCCCCGATAGGTGAATACACCCATAGGGTGGGCAGTTGGTCGTCACAATGGGAGTTCAAGCCAATCTTTCTCTAGTATGAACAAGAAGGAGGAGGAGGAGGAGGTGGTGGTGGTGGTATAGGGAGGCAGTGTCCCCGGACGTACAGTCCAGGGGACTGTAGTTTGGCTTCCACGTCCGCAGGTGGATGTGTTGTCCTGTCGCTGTTGATTTTGCTGTTGATTTTGCTGTTGCTGTTGCTGTTGCTGTTGCTGTTGCTGTTGCTGTTGCTGTTGCTGTTGCTGTTGCTGTTGCTG